CTCCTTCAATTCCGGGCCAAGTTGTGACACTAATCAATTTTCAGTTGAAATTGCCCTCCTTTGACAGTACTTAAACCAAGAGGTTTTTCAGGTGATTTGGAGGCGGATCCAGGTTGTATTTTTTTGGTAGTGTCTGCACTACTAAGGAACGACGTAAAGGATGGGTGACGTGGACAAATTTTAAAAACAACAAGGGAGAAGGCTTATAACTGGGCAATAACATAATGTAAGCTGTTGAGAATCCATTGCAAATGATACAACAGATTTTGCAAAACCGTGAGGTTATATTAGGAAGCTACGGATCATCTCGGGGGGAGGGGGGCGGGAAAGTGCTGCGTGCTCACCCCCTGCACCCCCCCCTCCCCTAGATCCGCCCCTGTAATTACAAAATCTCTAGAATAATTAGGAAGTCATGCTACCCGTAATGACCATATGGGGCACACAAAACCGGCAACAGAACTATGAAAGAACGCTTTACATCCACCTTTCATTTTTTCTTTTATAGACTTTACAAGGGAATTACAATCCAGATAAGGTTCATGTTAACGCACTCGAGGGCGTCGTCATAGCAGACGAGCTGACTTTTTCTGTACCGAATAATAATTCATGTCTACAAGTGGAAATATATGGATGGCCACTAGATAACTCAACAGGTCTGGTTATAAAGTGATGATCATTATTTATGAAAGTCTTACTCCCAATACCCAATATTCAACCCTCGTTGTCGCTGGCATTTGCCTTGGTATACAAAAGTTGGGTTGACCCCGAAGAAAAACTTGGAAGGAAGTGGTAATTACCGTTTAACAAACGCTATTGTCGTGAATTTGTGCATGCGACAAACGTGCGCATTCCTAGTTTGACGATCGCTATCTGCCAATTCTAACCCTAATCTCTAAGGTTACCTTATTTCCCAAGTATACCACCCTTCAGAAAAACTTGTCCCTCCGAAACATTCTCGCCTGGATTCGAAATTTGCCGAGCGCAATTTCGAACATACGATTGGAAAAATTTTGGAGGACAACCAACGGTAGTGACATTGTCTTCAAAAAAATTAAAAAATAAGCAGAAAGCAAAATAAAATGATTTAGTTGGAACTTTCGAGAGAAATAAGAAGAATAAAACAAATGTCCTTACGATTGAGGCTCGTGTAGGAAACTTTTCTCTGTTCTGTAATGAGTTATTCAATAGAAATTCTCCTCGCAATGTTCACAGCTTTTGTGGAGACTGATAACATCATTCACTCTAAACTCCAGTCTAATCAATTATGACTCTTACCTGTTTTCCCTTTGTGTGCAGTAGATAAAAATAGATGTATTCCTATCATTTTTCAAGTACGGATCATATAACTAACATAATGTGTTTTTTTATCTTTTTTTTTTAGCCATATCTCCAACTCTTCCGCCAATAATTAATGAAGTCATTCAAAATGAACGCTACATGTATGTTACTGGCATTTCTTGGAGTCGACCAAAAGTCTATGGGGGCCTAGTGACAGGATACAAAGTCATCCTCCACTATACAGACGGTAACCGCCATAATTGGACACTGGAAGCAGACCAAAGATCATTTTCTGCGGGGATGGGCCCCAACAGCACCTACTGTATAACTGTGCTGGCTTTTAATGAGGCTGGGGATGGACCGGCTGCAAAGTGTATTAATTTTACAACTCGGGATGGAGGTAAGGCCCCCTCCCCCTCAAAAAATTAGAGGCGGTTGATCCATTTTTTATGCCGCTGAACTTAATGGTTTGGTATCGTATAAGGTACGCAGACTATGTTGGTGAATTTTCAACCTGTTTTTAGAAAAATTATAATAAGCTTCGACAAAATATCGCAAGAATTCTGTGTAAATTAAATTTTTACCAATCAAGGTGGGGGTAGGAAAACACGTTAATACGCACAGAAAATTATGAAAGTGTTAGTCATCGTATTTAATTTTTCGTAACGTAAAATAATCTATAATTCAAAACTATCATCGGAGTGGAGGGGAATAGTGCTGAATATTAATCGAGTCGCGTCCATCGGTTTCACTGACCATGAGGTAAATCATTGTTTTAGTATATACCACAAGGAAACAAAAAAAAAATGGATTAATTTCTGTCTATATGCAGAAAAATGGTTGGAAATTAAACACGTAACGCACGATTTTTTCTCTTCAGCCAATCGAGGTGAAAAGTATTGGCTAATCACATCCGAACTAGTCAATCGGCGCACGCAAAAAGTACTAATCACCCATGTGGTATATACATATAATTTACATAATTTCTTAGTTTGGGCTGTCCCGTTTTAAATAAAATGGAAGTGGAATTTTATCCTTCATACAATTAACAATGATCTTGTTTCACAGCCTGCCCTATTTCTTGGATGAGATATCAGGACTCGTGTTATTTGAATGTAAGCAAACCAGCAAATTGGCCACGTGCTAAGCAGGAATGCATAAGTCGACACTCTCAACTCGTGACTATCTACAATGAGGACGAATTTATGTCTGTAGCAGCTTTAGCTGAAAACTTTTCCTGGATTGGAGCTGAGTGGAACGAGAACAAGTCAAAGCACGTGTGGTTGGATGGTTCAGACATCGAATTTCATCCACCTATGGATGGAAATGGAGACGGCACTTTGTGTGTTGGGATTCGTGAAAGTGCTTCGTTGCAACGAGAGAAATGCGCTCATGTCAGACCTTATATCTGTGAGAGGAAAGGTGAGTATAACCAACGCACCAACAATAAATTTAAAAGAGGTTTAATTTCCTGACGATTCGACCGAACTATTTTATTTACACGTTATTGCCAGTGGTTTCTAAGTAAAGTATTACGAACGTAATACATCAAGAATGGAACCCTAATCACAAGATAGGAAATAACGTTGGAAATAACAGAAATACAAGACACTAAACGAAAGGGCGATTTATCCGACGATTTTTGAATACGGCTGGCATAAGAAAGTTACCTGCGATTACATGTCAACTCGAGCTCACAACTTTTATTTGCATGATCCGCGCGAAAGTCAAACTCTATGGATAGACGCGTGGACTGGGGCTAGGAGGGGGATTGGTTTCTACAGTGAGAACTTAATGGTATCTTAGCCACGCGTGTCAAGATTCCATCAGTAATTCTCCTTACTGTCTGTCATACAATAGTCATGGCGTTGATTTGAAGAATTTGGTATTAGATCAACTAATAATCCTCCAATTGATATTTTTCGTTTTTTCCATCACCTGTCTGCTAGATGTTGTGTTGATGTTATCAAGAGAAATTGTCTTAGTCACGAATGGGAACAAAAGGGTTGATATAATATACTCTAATAACATTACAAGACACAAATTTAAAACTTAGGAAAATTGGGAGTTTTTTCTTTTTTTCACTTATTTTTTAGCGTTGTTATGGTAACATTGATGAAAAACGTTTGGTAACAATATCAAAAGTAAAAAAAATTTGTGATTCATAAACACGTAGGCGCTGAGATATTCAGTTTAAAATTGCCACGATTCATTTAAAGAAATCCACGCTCATGGACGCGGTCCCTGCACAAGATATTTTGTAAAATTACACAGATCCATGCTCGGAACGAGTCCTTGGTGTGAGTCGATGATACTGGCTTAAGAATCCTAATAACAGGGCACCACTTCAGAACATTGCTTTGGGTAATTTCCTATCACAAGATATTTTTGCTTCTCTGGTTCAGCTACGAGAAGGTTTTACTAACTTATTTCTTTTTCAGTCGCTCCTGACCCTGACGACTTGAAGTGTGAAGATAAGGGCGTTGGACTTGAATATCGCGTTAGATACGACAGTATATTTTTTGCATCTTCATCTTTATTAAACAAATACCGACCAGGTAATGCCCGATTGGCCGGGGAAGAGGCCTGGTGCCCAAATACAAATTCTACAGAAGAATACTTGGAGATAGATTTAGGTTCTTTGTACAAAATCTGTGCTCTTGCTACACAAGGACTGCTTGAAAGAGGTGCTTTTACCAAAACGTATCGTCTACAGTTTTCCATCGATGGCTCAAAATGGGACTGGTATATAAACGAAAACAGCCAGGTAGATAAT